TTGAAATGGCGAAGTGTCCGTTGGATGCTACTTCCCGAGGAAGCCATGAAGGGCGGCTTGGTGCAAGACTTGTGGCTCGGAGTTTTATCGCAGATTGCGCAGATTGCTGGAGTCGGGAGGTGGAGACGAAGATTTTGACGGGTTCCCAGAAGTGATATTGTATAGATTTATAGTGGATTTGCAGTGGGTTTATAGTGGATTTATAGTGGATTTATGATTTATAATGGATTTATATATATATGGTGTAAGTATGTCTAACAATATAACATCATATAACATCAATAGAACATAATATAACAATCTATGTCATGGTTGATGAGAATACAATGTGACACTACAAATCAAGAGGTGGTTCAAATAGCATCCCCCAAACATCCCCATAGACCCTGGCATGACTTGGAAGATGAGTTCCCAGCACTGTCTGGGTCGATCTTAATTTGCTGGAGGCTACCCTCTGGTAAATGGTTTATAGGATGTTATACCCCCGATCATATATGGAATATCCATGAATATCCCCACTTATGTATGGGATTATAATGGATTATAGGGCTTATATGTGGATTACCCTCTGGTAATTTGTTACATAGCTATTGAAAATGGACGATTTAGAAATTTAGTTCGTTGATTTACCGAACTTAAAGATTGTGATTTTCCAGTTCGCCATGTTAGTAGTTTACCAGAGGGTAATTGGCTTGATATGGACAAGAAAACCGGTTTCTGATTGTTTCTGCATCAATTCTAGCGACCTCATGGCTGTAAGACCTGTGTTCAGCTTGGTGAATGATGACATGTCAGCCAATCAAATAGCCAGTTTTATGACTGATGATCAACCGGTGCATATATTTTCCAATTGTAGTGCATTCATTATAGTTAAATAAAATCTGGTAACCATATGTAACCATATATAACCATGCATGTATGCCCATCAAACTAGTCAGTGTGAATGTTTGTTCGCAAATCGGGGCCCAAAAAGTTCCTCTCAAAGATGGCATTCCATGTAGAACTAGAGTCAGAAAGTGATAATCATTGAAAACTCATACAAAGTGAGGCCCCCCACTTATGTTGGTTTATAAACCAATTATAATAACTATAGTGATATTCCCATCCACACCTTCACCAAGCACACCTTTGTTGGGTAAACCACCACGTTTCTATGGTTTCGTCAAGGGGGGCCTCACCTTGTACTATGTACTTATGAACAAGTTGAGGATTGGGATCAAGATCCAAGATCCGGGCTGCACATCACTTTTATAATCTTTTATCCGTGTGGCTGGAGGTTCCTCTTTGTTTCTTTGGTTTTGTCCCAAATATACTTACGGACAATAATGAATGTGTATATATGAGTCATATATATATTTATATATATATATATGAACCAATCTGGTGGTTCATCATAATGTTTAAACAGAAAAATGACCAGACCGTGGTGGTAAATCCTCATCATATCTATGATAATTATAGATATAATCATCTATCTCTGTTTGTCTATATCTATATCATTCTATATCGATATTTGTATATATATATACATATCACTATGATTGGTGCCACTTAAGTTCACAGAAACCCTGCCGCGGCGTGCCTTGCACGGATCTTTCCCAGGCTGGCTTTGGTGGTGGAGGAACAACTTTGAGATCCGATGAAACGATGGTTCCAAATCCGATGAAACGACGGGGCGTCAAAATGCTGTAGTCAGTCATCTTCCCATGTCTGAAACAAAAGAGTCTTCCAAAGTGTCCAAAAAGTCTGATGATGTACAACTATGTCACAACTATGTCTATGTTTTTGCAAAAATGACCGCCTTTGTGACCACTAGTTTTGGCCCCTGATCACATATATATATATGCATACAACTATGTGCATTATATATATATATTACATCATAGAGACATGATTTGCATAGAATTTTCCTATGATACTTGTTTGTGCCCTTTAAAGACTGTAGATTTCCGATGGACTTTGTGGCCCCAGATCGCACTTACAACGCACGTTGTGAAAACTTGCTGTGAAAACGATCCAAGTCAAACGGATTCCTCCATCGAGTCAAGTGACTTCATTTCTAGGTAAACCTTAGGGGGGAAATGTACTAATTACCCTATGGTAAACTAACATAACTAAGGAAAATCTCCATGTTTAATGGGTAAATCAAGGGAACACCGCCTTGAGGCGGGTGTGGGTTTTCTACAATTGTGTACTTGGTGATTGAATCAAAAATTACCTTTTTACACTGTAATTTACAGTATTTTATGGTTGTGATCTATGATGTTTTGACGTTTGCTGAAAGAGGTCAAAATGCCAAAAAAAACTTTTGCAATTCCGCAACATGTGCTTGAGGTTCAATGCATTCTTTTCTTCCTCAGTGCTCTTTCAGTCGGCATTCTTCGTTTTGAAGAGCTTGCCCAAAGTCTGGATGTATTGATGCTGGTGTGCAAATCTAAATTGCCATGATCTCACATAGATGGGCAACGTGTCTTCGGTAGCGTCATCTTAGTCGAAAGGAACATTATCATCCCCCCCCACCCCCCTCCCGGTCAAGGTAGCAAGACGTCAGCAACAAAGTTGGGCAACGTGTCTTCGGCAGCGTCATCTTACAGTCGAAAGGAACATTATCATCCCCCCCCCACCCCCCTCCCGGTCAAGGTAGCAAGACGTCAGCAACAAAGTTGGGCAACGTGCCTTCGGTAGCGTCATCTTACAGTCGAAAGGAACGTTATCACCCCCCCCCCACCCCCCTCCCGGTCAAGGTAGCAAGACGTCAGCAACAAAGTTGGGCAACGTGTCTTCGGTAGCGTCATCTTGCAGTCGGCAAGAGCGTTAAACACGTATACTCCCAGAGAGCACAAACGTGGAAAAAACCACGCCCGCCTCGGGGCGTTGACCCCTAAATCAACTATAAATGGCAAGTTTTTAATATGTGGTTAAAGCAATGCCATAAATCACCCATGACTGGGAATGGCAACCATACCACCAATATTGATGACTGGGGGATGGTTTATGAAATTGGTTTACCCATATTAACTACAAAATCTGAATTTAGAAACCTTGGAAATGAGTTACATAATTCTAAATATCCGTTTTAGTGATTAATTTACCATTTAGTGATTAATTTACCATACAAAGAGTATAGTTATAATGTTTTGCTCTAAAGGGGAATTGTATCATATAATTCATATAATTAGTTTCTTTTTGCAGGGCATCTGTATATGGTTTGGAAGATTTGCCCGAAGCCAAGTTTGGAAAAAAAATCGAATCATTCATGGATTTGAGGCAATACTGTCCAAACATAAACTCATCCAATTTCGACAGTTCATAAATGAATAATTGTATCATTTCTTTTTGGTGTTATAATATAAATATATAATATGCATTGATTTGAGGCACTTATTTAAGTTTCATAGAACACAACCAAAAACCATCGATAAAATCCTAGAAGCATTACCCTCTGGTAAACTAACATAACCATGGAAAATCACCATTTTTCATGGGAAAATTCACTATAATAAATGGTGATGTTCCATAGTTATGTTAGTTTACCAGAGGGTACATCACTGTCGAGTGATGACTTTGCATCTCCATTGACTCCATTGCTGCCCCATGTTGATCACATTGATTCCCCACCAGATGGCGGCTTGGATCGTACGTTCGGAACCCCCGAAACCCGGGTTTCACCCGGAAGACGACTGGGATTTTCTCAGCAGATCATTTCAGGGTAGAAAGGGTAGAAACGTTTGAAATGGATATGAGATGAGTCAAGTCGAGCCCAAATTTGGATATTTGGCTATGCTCAGTAGTGGTAGAGAGAATTGATTGTAAGGAGTTTCGTAGGTGTGATATCACCATCAAACCAAATATCGGGGATCTGGGATATGTTTGCTGCTTAAAGGACATGCTTTTGCTTTTCTTGTAGAGGTTTCCTTCAATAGCCTCCATTGTTTTCGAGTTTACCAACCAAAAAACTGCCAAGTTTCCTTGTCGAGTGAGCTTCAACTCCGAACCCAACGTGCTAAGTGGAACCTGACGTAACCTGGGACTTGAAATCCCAAAATCTCCCGGATAAATATCTGGTGCACATCATTGAAAGTCCCAGAATCTGCATCTGTCCCACGTCGTGAAGCTCGAAAATTTACCCTGCTAAGCAGGAATTGAAAAAAGAGGTCGTGCAATGCAGCGCAGGTGAGTCAAGTGCAATTTTACGGATCTGGGATACTACAAGAGGGGAACAATGGGGCACATGATCTACAAGGGATTCTTTGTTAGGTGAAATAATGCCGCAGGGTGTTTTTATGAGACGTCCAGTTTGAGGACATATGTTTTTTTGAAATGAGCAAAGATCTTCAGCTTTATTGTTTGCCATTTTTAGTACAAAAGGTTTTGATTCAGACCGAGACTAGATCCAATATAACCCAAATATATCCTAATGCCGCCGAAGTATATCAGATGAACATGATCAAAGCAAACCAGAGAAGTTTTTTTTCCCATAGCAGGTGTGTCTACCTCCGAGTGAAATGAAGCAAGCGTAAGATTTATCAGAACTTCTCAAGGACAAAGTTTCCAGGGCATTTGTCTGAAAATCTGATATCACCATGTTTATAGGCGGTATGGTTACCATTCCCCGTCATGGGTGGTTTATGGCATTGTTTTACAATGTTTTACCCACAAAAAAAATAAAATGGACGTGTTAGAAAGAAAAACAATAATTCCATAGGAATTGAGGGGCGCAGAATATATGGAAATTGATGGAAATTGGGTCGAGAACTAAAGTTCCGCCGGTACTGAAGTGACCCAATCCACATGATTCATCGTAAACTCACCCAGTCATGCAATGAATGCTAGACAAAACAAAAACACATAATGTTCTATGGAACAGTATATATCTACATTAACAACTATTTATATGTATAATATATATATACACATGTTTCTTTGTTTGTGCAATATAAAAATAAATACTACCACCACGGAATTTCAATGGATTAGTTGTCAGCATCAGTGGATTGCAGGAGCGTACATCGACCAGGCTGGTGAAGGGTTGGTGTCAATGAGATTTCACCATGATAATTGATAACTTTTATATTTTTCACCATCTAAATAGGGATAGAATGGGTCAATTTTACCAATAATATATATATATATATATATGTATGGTTGGTGGTTTGGAACATTTTGTATTTTTCCATATATTGGGAATGTCATCATCCCAACTGACGAACTCATATGTTTCAGAGAGGTAGAGCTCAACCACCAACCAGATAGATATTTGGATGAGGAGCCCAGGTGTCCTCGACATGGAAATTCAGCCAGTAGGTCAAGGTCACCAGCACGTGCCGAATCGTTGACAGGAGGATGTTGATGATGTTGATGTTGGTTGCCCCATTTTGAAGTACTTTCCGAAACCCAGAAAAAAAGTGCACTTTCAGCCAGCAGCACCTGTTGCCCCATCGACATCTTTGGTGATTTTCCCGCATCCGGTCAATTTCTCGAAGCCTGAAGTTTCTCTAAGAAAGACGTTAGTGATGGGTAAATATTCTTAATTACTACCCTCCGGTAAACTAACATAGCTATTGAAAATAGCCATAGAAATAGTTGATTTACGGATTTACCCATAAAAAATGGTCATTTTCCATAGTTACGTTAGTTTACCACAGGGTAAATTACATGATGCTCAATGAGCATCTAGATCGCCAGATTCGGCGGTCCACAGGTTCGGATATGCACACGGATGTCCATCCCAAATACTGACAATAGCTGTGTGAAATACATTGCTGGTTGGTGGTTTGGAACATTTTTTCCATATATTGGGAATAATCATCCCAACTGACTAATATTTTTCAGATGGGTTGAAACCACCAACCAGATTGCTATTTTCAGCCCAGTCATAGAGATCAGAAACGGGGAGCTGCGAGTTGCCAACGAACCCCACACTTCCTCTTTGGGATAGTCCCAAGGTGAGTTTCACATATGGAAAGTCACCGTTTCTAGGTACCCTCTGGTAAACGTACAAAAAGCTATTGAAAATTGCCATTTATAGTGAGTTGTCCCATTAAAAATGGTGATTTTTCAGTTCGTTATGTAAACGTTTAGCAGAGGGTAAGTCATCTAACAGCCATTGTCGGCTCCAGATGCTCCAGAGATTGGGATCAGGAAAGATCTCGTGGAAGCATCCACAGTTGCAAGGTGCGCCCGGGATTCGGGATTTTCATTCTTCTGGGATAAAGAGGTGTCATTGAAACATACTACTTTTGGACTGGAGTCATCGTTGTTATCATTGAACATTGTTGTTGCATCCAATGTCTTAGCTCTTGTACTTTAACCATCAATCAACCATTTTGTTTTGAACCTAACACATCCTAACACCATAACCCCCCATGTTCTATTGATTAAATCCGCAATTTATCCTCAGTTGGCTGCTTATGTCCCCATGATAGTCCTTTAAAATGTGAGAGTTTATCATCATTTTTCCGAGGCAAATTGCCATTTCTTGGAGATCAACACAACAGTATGTTCCCATTACACACATATTAAACCAACATTAAGATACATTAAGCCCACATTATTCCATGAAATATCCAATCTTAGATCCGATGTTAATATTCACTAGATGTTGCTATCAATGTTAAAACTGATTTTGATGCATACAATAACCCAGAGTTGATTTAGACTTCATATTACCTCAACGCATCTGAAAAAAAAATGCAGAATATGAAATTTATGTGTACATATATATATATATATATGTATAATCTAATTTACTATGATTTATTTTAATTATTGTTATTATTCTTACTAATTTGTATTTATTATTACTATTATTATCATTATCATTATCTATCTATATATATGTATGTGTGTTACACTATATACATCTATATTAAACTATATATATATTACAATATATATATATATTACAATATATATATATTACAATATATACTATATATATATCAACAGATCCAACTATACATTCCATCTGGATGTTTTTTTGTTCATGAGTTCAGACGACTTCGTGGAATCATCCCAAATCAGCCATGGCAAGTTTTTCATTGGACTACTGATGATCATTCGGCAAATATAATTACCCTCTGGCAAATTAACATAGACCCTGAAAATAGCATAAAATAACCAATCGTTAATGGAAACTAATCTTCCAACCCCTATCTGGCAGGGTCTATGTTGATTTACTGGAGGGTACCAATTGTTGTACTTTACAACATATTAAAACAATAGGTAAATAATGATGGCCTCCATTAATATACCACGTGTATTCATGTTATCAAATATCAATTGTGGCAAATTAAAGAAAACATGCCCGTTTCACATTACATATATAAATGTAATAAGATATGTGTTATTAAATCTGGTTACAACATGTTACAAATATTTCATGCGGAATAGCAATGGTTACCAGTTTCCATAAGAAACACGTATTACCTAGTATTACCAGTTTCAATGAATGGTTAAAAAAAAAAACATAATTTGTAAGATAGTCGATGTTTGCACAGCCATCACTAGCCCAAATGGTGAATTTCAATGAAACATGAATCCCATGAATAAACCATATTTCCATATTAATTTCACAACCATTAAGAATCCCATGAATAGTTTTGTATTTCCATATAATACGATATTAAAAATTACCCTCTGGTTATGACTCACATAGCCATGGAAAATCACCATCATGAACATCTATTTCTATGGGCCATCTATACCATGGCTATGTTAAAATAACCAGAAGGTACTACCTCCTGGATTCCATCATCCAGGAGCACACGGACGATGCCTTCGAAGCCGCCACGAAACGCTTGCTACAAGCGGCCAGTCAAAGGCCAAGGGTGGCCCTAATGTTGGCGACCCACAATCGAGCGTCACTTTGGAAGCTCGTCTGCTATCTATCGCAACAAAAACCATGGCCTTTTTCGGGAGAGGATTCCTGGATTCCGGGCAGTTTTCGGAAGGGGTGATAGAAAATGATGATCACCCATTAGATTTAGGGAAGCCGGAAACATGTTTTTTTCAGGCCCAGAGGATCTGACTGTTTGATATGTGATTGGGTCAAATTGAGGTACCAGCCAGCGGACCCACCAATTTAACAATGACCCAGGCCTATAAGGGGGAAATCGATCAGAAAAAACATCAAGATGGGGAAGCAAGAGGAAACATCATGTTGGGAAGGACTATAGTAACTGTAAGAAAAAATATAAAGTAGTCCCAAAGAAATCTCTGGATTTGATTGTTTTTGACCTCCAGGAACCATCGCAGTTTGACAAGTTTTTCAGGGCCACCTGACAGACGCCACCTGGGGACTCAGATGGTCGCTGTGATCTTCCCAGCATGGGAACCTGAACATCCAAAACTACATAGCTACATCTGGGTCAACTGGATGCGCACATTTATCATATTTAAGGCTCAAGTTTGTGATAAAACTGTCCAAACAAACATTGGAGGTTTCCTAAAATGTGGCTATCCCGGTATCCCCAAATCATCCAGTCGTCATGAACGACCATTGAAGTATTAAAATCTATGGTGGCTTAGGGATTCCCCATTTTAGGACACCTCCGGATATTTTACAGAAGTATATTTTACGGAAGTTTTTCATCAAGCAAAACTCAAGGTTGAGAAAGCCTGGCCGAAAGCAACAGTTCACCTATGTTCACCTGCCAAAGGACCGTGATGACTTTTTCCGGCAAAGAATTTTCTCTCTGACATCATACCGTGACAACTTCGGAATACAGAGGATGTATTAAGTTGTATTAAGGCATATATATATATACACGTAAGGTCAAGCCACTAGAAAGTGGCCAGAACTATATCCAATCCACCTATGTTTCGCCCGTTTCGCCGTCGTTATTTCCAGGATGGATGACTAGATTTGATTCAAGGGAAATACTCGCAGGGTCTTCCCCGCTCTTCCCCCCCAAAAAAGGGCCCCAATCATGTGTTTTTTGAGAGTTCTTCCAGAAATCAACATATATCCGAAAGATAGGCATAGCCAATTTTCGCTGATCTTCCAATTAAGGGCAAAAACAGAATAGCTTCCCCGTTTATAGCAAAAGATTATATACTTCGATGCAGTGCAGAGGGCACATCAGTGGTCATCACTTAAATCATCCTAAATTCCCATTTTGACGTAATCATAAATTTAGGAAGCTACTTGCACTGCAACCCCAACTGCCGTATTTATATTGTGGCAACTAACGTCATTTGGAATACGGAAAACATCTATAAGCGAGAGATTTCCCTTTGCATCTTTTTTGACAGGTAAACATTTTTCATCATTTTTCCCCACTCTTTTTGATGGTGATTTAATGTTCAATCTTTTTGGGGGACCTTTCCATCAAATAATTAAATAGCCGCCTTCCATGGTCAGTTTGGGGATATGAGTGACAGTTCCAACTCCAAAAGACAGAAAAGCTGGTCCATCCTCTTTTCTGGATAGATTATAGCATAGCCCTTCTGTCTTCGCAAGGGGATCCAAACTATCAAGTTAGTAATGTCAACCCTGGATGAATAAAACATGGTTTGTGTGTGTGTGTGGGGGGGAATAAAACTACTCCCCACATAGTGACTTACTCCCGAGTGATTTCATCATCGTTTCATCATATTTTCAATGGGAATTTCAGGATCCTAAAATGGAGGTACTGTACCATATAAGGCCATATTTTGTGGGGATATTCCCTTACATAGGCCTTATATAGGCCTTATATATGGAATCGGTACCTCCGTCCTCAATCGGTTCCTGAGATGGCCAGTGAAAGGGCTGGGCTGAATCCGAGGAATGCAGTCAAGGAGATGGATCGACTAGGCGCCCGCAGTCCCGATGGGGAAAACTGGGTCCTCAGAGTTTTCTTCGCAGTGCGCATTTTGACGATTTCAATCGATTTGTCATATTTATGTGAAATTTATTGAATCTGATGCAGCAAACAGCTTGTTATCTACATCGCAAGTGTTCGAACACGTTTCACCTCCGTTTCTCGTACGTAATGTTTGCTGGGAAAGGTTTCCATTCGCCGTTTCAGCAGCGAAGGGAGAAACGACGATACACATGTTGTTTCTGGGGGTTTGATGGACAGCGAAACCACGCCCGTGTTCGTCGCGCATTTGAACTTCGCAACAATACAGGTTTGTCAAAAAATGAGGCGGTATCCTTCAAGGCTGCTTTATTGAGTGTTATTTGAGTTGTAATGATTTATGACATGTGTTTTTTATATGTGTTTTTCATATGATATAAGTTCATAAACATAAAGTTTGCTGGTTGGGCTCCACGATCTGTTTTTTTACTTAAGGATCTCCTGGGATAAGAGCCTGCAAAGGATAAGGATGGATTCCCATTCTGAAAGTAGAAGAACTTCACCAAGATATTGACCGTACAATGCAAGAAGGATATTGGTTTCTCTCAAAAAAAGATAAATAAATATATATATATACATACATATATACTGGTTGGTGGTTTGGAACATGAAGTTTATGACTTTCCATTCAGTTGGAATTTCATGATCCCAACTAACGACCACCAACCAGTATATATATATATTATATTGTACCCTGTGGATCCAAATTCAAACATTTTCTGAGAAGGTACTTGACTTAACCCCCCAAACCACAGCCCAAATACTTCCTGAGAAGGTACGTGGATCCATGGAAGTATATAATGTAATTATATATCATAATCTATCATAATATATCATAATATATCATAATATATCATAATATATCATATTACGTGTGTATATATATATATATATCTACATGCATATTTATACATATATATATATATATATGTGTGTGTATGTTCATATTTATACATACATACATATATATATATATTCATTCGACTATTTACATATACATATACATATATATATATATATTCATGTGTATATATATACACATTTATGCACGTATTTATATTTATATATATATAGAAACATACATACATACATGCATGCATGCATACATACATATACATACATATACATACATATACATACATATACATACATATACATACATTTACATACATATACATACATATACATACATATACATACATATACATACATAGATGCATAGATACATAGTATATATTAATATTGTATATAAACAATATATATACATATACAATTATACATATATATATATACATATCTAGAAATAGTTTCAAACATATGGTGAACCAAGTGATTTCAACCAATTTCCACATCATTTTGGGGTCCTTCCCCCGCCTCACAGGCCTTGCTCGTGATGATCCCAGGATACACTTCGCACAGATCCTGGGCATGGTGGGAATGCCCAGAAAAACCATGGGAAAGCCATGGGAAAGCCATGGTTTAATCATGAAAAATCATGGGAACGCATGGTTGGGACATGTTGGTAAGGAATCTGAATAGAAACATCTATAGCCGTCTAGCCTTCTTTTTCTGTGGAGCATTACATCTGTGGACATTCCGGATTTTAAAAATGCACAGTACAATGGCAAGCGGCAGCTGGAAAGTAAAGATGGTACCATGGAAGTTTTCGACAAGTCCTCTGCCTCTGTGTGTGAAATGTTTTTTTGCTCTGCCACTTCCTGACAAATTTACTACTTGGGTAATTCCTTTTTGTTGCCCCAGAACTTTTTTGTGATTGATTTTTTTCTCCAGTGATGAGGTTCCTTTCCAAGCTTTTTGAGGGGAAAACAGTTGTGGAGATGGAGCCTCGGGCTGCCTTGATAGCCAAAGATGAAAAGTACACCGCCCGAGACACCCCAAGTAGCTAGGAGCAGCTAGGAAAAACATAATGGATATTATGATATATCTTTACACCTGTCTCCCTATATCTCTCTATATATTGATGTATTTATTTTTAGGTTTCTCAAGGTTTGGCAAGCCATAAAGACATTCCAGACATTCCATGACTTTCTTTTCTGGGATTTTCTGGGTTTCCCCTTTCCCCTTCCAAATCTTTAGTTTACCTTTTTTGAGTTCTATATTGAAAAAGTCATGGGAGGCATTGCAGCCATCCTCAATGAGATGAGCAGTGTCAACAAAGTTGGTCCCGGCATGGAGTTTCAGTCAGCGAGGCTGAGATGAAAGTGATGGCGCATCCCTTTGAACAACCTGAAATCTTGGCGTGTCAGCGCAAGGTCAAAGACTGGGATGTGTGATTTGCCATCTCGACAGACGGCAGACCGACATGTTGCAGCAAAAAATGGCAGCAATGGCAATCTTGCAGGCAAATCAACCAGACAAGACGTCACGCCGAACATGCGTGGCCTAGACTGAAAAATCGCTTGGCCCATGAAGGATTGCAGGGCAGGCAGCTAAGTCCATCTCCGCAACAAGCAGATCTTCCATCTTGAGCTTTTTAAGGGGTCCAGCCACTTTTCCGGCGCGCGACTTAGTCATACCCTTAGTCATACCCTTCAGCCACAGTTTACGGATGAGTTTTGCTGGGAAACAAAGATGGATTTCCATATCTCACGACAGCGTCCCCGTAAACTCACCAGTAGATTGTGAGAGGGACAAAAATCGTGAATCTTTGGTCAATACATAGGGAATCTGTAAAACAATATATGTTCAAGTAATGTGAACCAGCCCAAGGAATCCGAATGTGATTAGCGCGAAAAAAATGGGTTCCACCATGAAAAACGGTGGTTTTACCATGAAACATGTTGGATTTCAGGGTTGGACATGTTGGTGATTGTGAACACTTTTTCGGCTTAGTGCAGTGGTGAGTATGTAATTGCTGACGAATGTCCGGTGCACACCATGGCTACATGGATACATCATCTACTGACAAAGGTGCTGCAGATGAAACTGATGAGGTCGATCTTCATGTGTTGTGCTTGACAGGAGAAGGGCTGACATTAAGCGTCCCTCGCTCCATGATTGGGTATGACCTGCGCAGGTTGGTGTCGCAAGAGCTTCCATGCAAGCCAGGCGCAAAGCTCGCTGTGCATCACGGGAATGCAAAGCTGACGCTGAATCAAACTTTGGGAGAGCAAGGGATTTTTGAAAAATCGGCAATGCTCTCCTGCACATACATACCAACAAATGTGTACAGTGCATGGCGTTACATCTGTGGGCTCCCGACTTGGGAAGGACATTTTGTGATGGAAGGTGTTACACAACTTAAAGCAGCAGTGCCTGGAGAGTATTTACATCACTTGCCTCCCAGCCTTTCCGACTTGAGTCTTGGCCATCAATTCAACCAAAGCCTGGAGCGGGTGACCTTGCCATCGAGTCTTCAAAGCTTGAGTTTTGGCTTTGATTTCAATCAGAGCCTGGAGCGGGTGACCTTGCCATCGAGTCTTCAAAGCTTGAGTTTTGGCCGTGATTTCAACCAAAGCCTGGAGCGGGTGACCTTGCCATCGAGTCTTCAAGGCTTGAGTTTTGGCCGTGAATTCAACCAGAGCCTGGAGCGGGTGACCTTGCCATCGAGTCTTCAAAGCTTGAGTTTTGGCCATGATTTCAACCAGAGCCTGGAGCGGGTGACCTTGCCATCGAGTCTTCAAAGCTTGAGTTTTGGCCATGAATTCAACCAAAGCCTGGAGCGGGTGACCTTGCCATCGAGTCTTCAAAGCTTGAGCTTTGGCGAGAGTTTCAACCAAAGCCTGGAGCGGGTGACCTTGCCATCGAGTCTGCAAAGCTTGAGTCTTGGCGGGAGTTTCAACCAAAGCCTGGAGCAGGTGACCTTGCCATCGAGTCTTCAAAGCTTGAGTTTTGGCCATCAATTCAACCAAAGCCTGGAGCGGGTGACCTTGCCATCGAGTCTTCAAAGCTTGAGTTTTGGCCTTCAATTCAACCAGAGCCTGGAGCGGGTGACCTTGCCATCGAGTCTTCAAAGCTTGAGTTTTGGCCGTGATTTCAACCAAAGCCTGGAGCGGGTGACCTTGCCATCGAGTCTTCAAAGCTTGAGTTTTGGCCATCAATTCAACCAGAGCCTGGAGCGGGTGACCTTGCCATCGAGTCTTCAAAGGTTGAGTTTTGGCGATGAATTCAAGCAGAGCCTGGAGCGGGTGACCTTGCCATCGAGCCTTCAAAGCTTGAGTTTTGGCTTTGATTTCAACCAAAGCCTGGAGCGGGTGACCTTGCCATCGAGTCTTCAAGGCTTGAGTTTTGGCCACCAATTCAACCAAAGCCTGGAGCGGGTGACCTTGCCATCGAGTCTTCAAAGCTTGAGTTTTGGCCATCAATTCAACCAAAGCCTGGAGCGGGTGACCTTGCCATCGAGTCTTCAAAGCTTGGGTTTTGGCTGGGATTTCAACCAAAGCCTGGAGCGGGTGACCTTGCCATCGAGTCTTCAAAGCTTGAGTTTTGGCCATCAATTCAGCCAAAGCCTGGAGCGGGTGACCTTGCCATCGAGTCTTCAAAGCTTGAGTTTTGGCCATGAATTCAACCAAAGCCTGGAACAGGTGACCTTGCCATCGAGTCTTCAAAGCTTGAGTTTTGGCTGTGATTTCAACCAAAGCCTGGAGCGGGTGACCTTGCCATCGAGTCTTCAAAGCTTGAGTTTTGGCCGTGAATTCAACCAGAGCCTGGAGCGGGTGACCTTGCCATCGAGTCTTCAAAGCTTGAGCTTTGGCTTTGATTTCAACCAGAGCCTGGAGCGGGTGACCTTGCCATCGAGTCTTCAATGCTTTGGTGTTTGCGATTCACGCATGGTCTCTCTCAGCTCTGCAGGTTGTGCTTAGTTTGTTTGAGATGTCCTTCAACAGATCTCTAAGCAAAAGATATTTTCATTCACAGGGATGCTTGAATTGACCATTCTGGGGTGGTAAGGGTCTTTAATATTTTTTGCCGGTGAATACCTTCCATTTTACCGCAAAGCCACGGATTTCTGGTGAGTGTCCTATTTCAGAACCAACAAAGTTTGTTGGATAATGCGTTGCATGTCATTACAACTGCCTGACCGGGATGTCTTCTGCAAACATAATTACGCGAGGCAGACGCGCTTGTTCTATCAGAGGCCATATTGGTGGAATGTATTGCTGGCTGTAGCTAACACATGGAGGGTTTCCTGAAATTGGGGCACCCCCAGTCATCATCCATTCTCGATTGGGATTTTCCATTTTTTTCATTATCAACCAACCATTTTGATCCATTTTGGGGTACACGGTGTTGGAAACCGCCATAGAATCGTGTGAACTGTTGGTGAACTGTTGGGGATGATCAATCATCCCAAAAGGAAAGGTTTCAAGCCGCAATTATTGTTGATCGTGAGGATTTGAGGTTTCATCCTGGTTTCTCAGATTCGGAAATTGCTCATGTCTAGCGATTCTGATATAATTCATGTTAATTCATGGTAATTCTCTAGGTCAATCTTACATGGGTACAAACTAATCCTTTAGTCTATTGGTATTAATGGGAATATCTACCGTACTCACCAGCAAAGAATTTATTTTTTTGCAGGTTATCTAAGCTTGGCAATGTTCTGTTCTTGTTCATTTCCCCTGGGATATGACCATAAAATGATATAAAATGTGACAGATTGACTGTAGACTGCCAGCATGAAAATGGTGCTAAACGTAGGGAAACGGGCCATGGGACGATCATTCCCCCATTCCCTACTCAGCTCCAGTAAGACAATTTTTAGCCATGTGGCTTTCCCCTGCCATAGCTACCACGACTGGAATGGGATGGTCGGATTGCCCCATAAAAATGGTGATGATTTTTTGGGATGGTCGGATTGACATTGGGTGAATCCCACAATAGCGTCATGGGGAATCAGCAAAAAAAAAGCCACCAGGTCTATGTGTCATCGAATCACCAAGAATACCAAGCCACCAGCCGCCCAGGTGGATAACCTTACCTGGGCCCTGGGCCTAGCTGGCTACAATGTCGGGTGCTCCAGCTGAGACAAGGATGGATCATGGACCCAGAAATCTGGGTCAAGTTTGGATAGCTTAGTTTTCACGACTGTACAACGTAATCACATGATATTTTGCTATAAATTGGGGATACAGTCCGGGATACATTATAAGCGAACCAGCTAAACATTCCTTAGCCTTTAACATACATTTTTGTTGTTGATCTTTAGTAACTCTAGTATTATATAATCCTTTGAGACTGTTCTTTTTTGGGGTCCCGTGATCTTGACCAATGACGGAATGAGGATGAACAAATCGTGTGTTCAAAGTTGGGACGGCTGAAGACTGAAATGATCAGAAATGATCATCCGGATCAGATTTTCATGAGTACAACTAACACCACAGATGTTTCAGCTTGCGCTGAATCTTCAGATGAATCTTCACATGCGTATGGGTCAATTTATTGAGGTTTAGTAGGTCCTCGTTAAACGGGATGGAAAAATTGACCACAAGATGCGTCTGAAACACAGGAAAAATGAATTGGGATGTGAAAGCATGAGTGGTATACGTCACTACAGGATGGGGCCCCCAGTCGATAGCGTTCAGTTGGTTTATAAGTGGCTGAATTCAATGGTTTATGGTAGGTATAACGAACTAGTTAATGGGGATTATAATGGTTTATAAACCAACTTATAACTGGGGGGCGCCATCCTGTATCATTAGGCATATGAGCAAATGCTTTTTGCTCTAGGTCAATCTTACATGGGTACAAACTAATCCTAACTAGTCTTTTGGTATCAATGGGAATATCTACGTTCACCAGCAAAGAATTTAATTTGTTGCAGGATATCTAAGATTGGCAATGTGCTGTGGAACATGGACATTGTAGGAAGGAATGCAAAGTCAAGCACGCTTTCGTCAATGCAATGCGAGCTCAACCATCCCAGTAACCAACCAGAAACAAAGGTCATTCTACATCATCCCACTATTCACAACACCAAGGTCTTATTTGATTTGCTTCGCTAGACGTATATTAAAACTGTTTATTAAACTGTCATAATGACATCATCAGCCTCTAAAATGATGATTCATCACTTCAATGTTGCATACAGTAGGATGTGACTAGATTAGGCCTGCTCCAGCCTGGCAAAAAACATGTTCTCCATAGCCTCATCCGGTGTTTTCACATGTTAGCTGGGATCCATCCGATCCATCCCAGTATGAAATATTCCGGGAAACTGTACATTACTGTACCAGCATATAAAGTAATATATATATAAGTTGGGGGCATATCTCCTCAGTCACTGAAAAAAATCCTCTGGTGAAACTCTCGTGAAACATCTGAAGATGGATGCCTCGCGCCGGAGGCATCCAAATTGCTGGTCTTTGGACAGGTTCATGAGGTGAGAAAGATGGTGACAGGTCCGGATTTTTCAAAAAGATGGGGAAGATGAATAAAGATGAACCGTTTACTGCTTTAGTACGTTGCTGTAATACGGGTTATATATTTTTGACAACATGTTTTTTTTTCGCTGGGCATCTAAGTATACATGTCCCAAACCATGTTTGAAGGGGGGTTTAAGAGATGCCGAATAATGCTGGAAATGATGGCTATATAGTTGCTAGCTTTGGCTATTCAGGTGATGTTTGCAGAAAGTTTTCAGGAACCTTGTGTTGTGCATTGAAATTAAGTGGCACAGTTGAACACAAAACAACCAACAAGGGGGTTGGTCACTGTGATTTTTTTTGAGCTCTCAATCCAGCACTTGCGCAAGTGGATGATTCCAATCATGCTTGCCCATTTGCCAGCTGGGTCATAGATGTTGAGGAAAAAAACGCAGGAAATCTTCATGAAATCCACATGTTTACAAGTTTCACCATGCTGTTTACTGGAGAAAAGTCTGTGGGGTCGAAGTTTAAGGCTCAGCCCAACAAAGCTGATGTTTATCCCCAAGTCAGCATCATTTTGTTGGAATCTCAACCATCCCAGTCATGCTAGTTGTTTATGGCAGCCAGGGTTGCTCATATGGACATATAATGGAAATCAAGGGGGGGTAAGATGGGATTCAAACTGGAATGGAATATGAATGGAATATTGGTAATACAACTGGAATAATGATGGGAATAATCCCTTCCACCATATCTGGTTGGTGGTTTGGAACATGGCTGGATTATGACTTTCCATATATTGGGAATGTCATCACCCCAACTGACTTTCATATTGTTCAGAGGGGTAGGTATACCACCATGTCCACCATATACCACATCGGCTTCGGGGTGGTAACGGGCCTGCTCAAGATCGATGTTTTTGAGGGTGTTGCACAGGGGCATTGATAAGAGTATGGAACAGTCTGGAATTGTTACTCGACTGCCTTCACGGGGGAGTAGCAAAATCCAGAAGCAAACCTTTGAGAGTAAGTAGTGTGAAAGCAGCTTGTCTAAGCACTTCCCAGGGAAAGCCTCTTAAGGGGGGGGTTGGAGACTCTTTGGGGGTCTTGGTCTCGACCTCGATGTTTTTGAGGGTGTTGCACAGGGGCATTGATAAGAGTATGGAACAGTCTGGAATTGTTACTCGACTGCCTTCACGGGGGAGTAGCAAAGTCCAGAAGCAAACCTTTGAGAGTAAGTAGTGTGAGAGCCTCCCCAAGAGCCGAGGGAGGGGGGGGGGGTTGGGGACTCTTGGGACCTTAATACCATTCCTTAAGGGATCCCGAGGGGATCCCTTAAGGCTTCCCCGGGGAAGGTCGAGACCAACACCCCCAAAGAGTCTCCAACCCCCCCCCACCCCCCCTCCCTTAAGAGGCTTTCCCTGGGGAGGTGCTTCGACAAGCCAGAAGCAAACCTTTGAGAGTAAGTAGTGTGAGAGCCTCCCCAAGAGCCGAGGGAGGGGGGGGGGTTGGGGACTCTTGGGACCTTAATATCATTCCTTGAGGGATCCCGAGGGGATCCCTTAAGGCTTCCCCGGGGAAGGTCGAGACCAACACCCCCAAAGAGTCAAGAGTCTCCAACCCCCCCCTCCCTTAAGCGGCTTTCCCTGGGGAAGTGCTTAGACAAGCTGCTCTCACACTACTTACTCTCAAAGGTTTGCTTCTGGACTTTGCTACTCCCCCGTGAAGGCAGTCGAGTAACAATTCCAGACTGTTCCATACTCTTATCAATGCCCCTGTGCAACACCCTCAAAAACATCGAGGTCGAGACCAAGACCCCCAAAGAGTCTCCAACCCCCCCCCTCCCTTAAGAGGCTTTCCCTGGGGAAGTGCTTAGACAAGCTGCTCTCACACTACTTACTCTCAAAGGTTTGCTTCTGGATTTTGCTACTCCCCCGTGAAGGCAGTCGAGTAACAATTCCAGACTGTTCCATACTCTTATCAATGCCCCTGTGCAACACCCTCAAAAACATCGATGAATGGGTGGTTGGATTGCTGAAATGGTACTATGTGATATGCACCGTATTACGCATATAATGACCCTGAGATACTTGATTGCCATTCTTGACGACATATTCTATCTACTATTCGTGATAGTTTCCCCCCTTTCGACTATTTGAATTATTCAGAACCCTATACTACTACCTTATATATTAGGCTTCGGGGCACCTTCCTTTTGTCAAGAAACCTCGGACTCTAAAGTGCACCTCCTCACTCCAAGATGAACCCTATAAAGACACTTCCCACTCTAAAGTGAACCCCTTCACTCCAAGGTGAACCCTTGGTTTGGTTGAGCTCTCCTCACTCTAAGGTGAACCCTAAAGACACTTCCCACTCTAAACTGAACCCGTTCACTCCAAGGTGAACCCTTGGTTTGATACAAGGCCCCCAGGAAACCACTGAAAAACCACAGGCCCAAAACCACCCCATAACCAAAACATCATAAAACCAAGGAATTTCATGTCGTTTGTTGATCTTAAGAGTCACACCTCTCGAAACTCGCGCAGGTCTTACCCTGGTTGCTGTGTCTTGGACGGAAAGGTGAAGCTCTGTGGGTGGCGATGGGGGATACCTGCTCTGATCATATTACCTTTTGGCATCTTTTGGCTATGTTAAATTACCAGAAAAAACCACTGACATTCATGGATCCAAGTATTTTCTTAGAAAAGTATTTGGGGCATGATATGGAGGGTGTGAGGTACCTTCGGAGGTGCTTGGATCCACACAGACCTTTAAATTTGGTGCATTAAACGTAGGGAAAGAAGCAGTTAGTTTTACTAGGTAAGTCATCCAAAAAAATGGGCCATGGCTTCAATGGCTTCCACAGCCATGTTAGGATGTTGATGAAATTGCCTTTTTTGGGAACGACTTCCAACTGTTGGCACAACAATGGAAGGAAGGAATCAATGAACCTTGTGCCATGTGTTTTTTTGGTATTTTTTGTTGTGCCTGGAAAATGTGGGTCATCATTCATGTCATTTCACATGGATCTTATTACCCTGTGGTAAGTTGACATCGCTGTGGAAAAGTTTGGGATTTGACCTGCTTCCATTCAGAAGGGCAGATGGCGTTGTTGAATAATGTCAACCATGGCTTATGAAAATTAGGGGGTACTTGCCAAATAGTGATCATTTGATGGTATACCCCCCAACATTTGGGTAATCTATTTACAGTTACCACTTAAGAACCAACTTTGGGTAATCTGATACTTCAATGGTACACCCCCCAATTCAACAGCCGTAAAATGTGGGTTTCTTCATGAGGCGTCGCGCGCGAGAGAATCGCGATGCCTTCGGCGCGCAGGTTCTGGGATAAGTGAAGTTCTCGGTGGGCTGCAGTGAACGAAGTGGATAGCCGAGGGTAAACTAAGATAGATGTGGAAAACCCCATGGGAAAGCCCTAGGAAAATAGTCTGCGCATGGTTGCTGTTCAACATCTAATTATGTTGGTTTAGCTTAGGGTAATCATAATCAGACTGTCAAGTGCCAGGGTTTAGGGAGCCCCGTGAATAGTGGATTACAAAAGAGCTAAAACAAAAACATATTATAAGTTATAAGTGGATAATCATCATCACATGTGCCACTGTCAAAACATGGGCTAGTTTCCCGAATTCGGGGATGGTCATCAATCAATTAATAGGGAGATAAGTACGGATTTTGTTTGGATTCTCATTATCGGATGGATGACCATAAACCATATACCATGTTTTGACCTTAGCACATTATGGGGATTGGTCAAAGCTTATGAAATTACCATATAACTGGGAATAAGTTGAATAAACATCCATTAACCATCCGGGTGTCAGGGTTTTGATTCATAGCCATACTATATATATATATACCCTACGGCTCCAACGTGTGCAAATATGATCAACATTCGACAATGTTAGCTCCAGATGCCTACATGCCACCCGATTTTGCCAATGTAAGCACCAGGGGCCTACATCCAAAATCCGATTTTTTTGTCAGATAAGCATGTTCGAAGAAAACACCTACAAAAGTTCCACCAAGGTAGTTCAAAGCACCTTTTTTTTCTACCGAGCACGGACTGATTGGCCAGCCACCTTTAAACCCAGCAAAATTCTGCCCATAACCCGAAGCTCCATTAAGCTTCGATGGGTTTTTTTGCAAATGGATTTGACTGAGCCCATTGCATCCTCATCCATGTATCCATGAAACGTTCGCGCATTGAGGCGCGCGATGAGCATTTCCAAACATATTTCTTGGTATGCCTTGCGTGCTGACAAAACATTGCGCAACAAAATTCAAACTAAACTACATTCCCCACCACCAACAGGATCCAACATGTTAAAGATGCAAAAGATGCTCAACAAACTGCAGGAACATGTGTTTTTGGACGTAGCGGTAAGAACAGCCTTTGTTTCTCCACGAAGGCTTGTGCAGCACATCTGTAGTACTCCAGAAACCTTGCCAAAAGTGATTTGCCAAAGCTAAATTTTTTTTGGGTTGTTGGTTCATCCCCATTCATCTAGGCATATTGTCATGTACAGGTAGCTAGGCAAGAAACTGGTTGCCCTCAGTCCACAGCCATTGCGCATCCTCACCACTAAGGTATCGCCCACACCCCTCAAGTGTCAGCATCCAAATTGATATTGAATTCATAGTTGCCGTAGTCAGAAGGAGTTCCGGTGGTCGCTGATCAAGTGCTAATGACCCCACCAAAGCATTCAAACAGGTAGTCAAAAAAGCAGTCATAATTCGGCTGTTCCAAGCCTTCAACCGCAGCTCCCAAAACTCCCCTTGCGTCCGATGGAGCAAGCCGCTGGTGATGTACGGCTGGGTGTGCCTTTCAGGGTTGTCAAGGCCCAGGTATATTGTATAATATAGTTTATCATGATGTATATCAACGTGTTAATTCACCATGAGTACCCTACATTTATTAGGTAACAATTTGGGTGAATGCTGGTAAATGTTCCTATAGAATTGGGGTTAGAAAAGCATTAACTTGAAACATCCCGGTATATATACACACATGTATATAAGACATATTTGGGAGCCACTTGCAAGGCCTGATTCCCTGCACACTGCACCACCTTCGAAAACGGAGGGTCAAAATTTCAAGCATGTCTTTGATCGACATTCTTGGGGAACCAAACCATCCATGCTCATGCAGCAACATCAAACTCGCTGCGTTGAGAAAATGTAGTAGCCCAAGATGAAGTACATGCAACAAGCAAAACTTCACCATGCTGGGCATCCAGCCGAACACGAAGGAAATGGGGCAAATGTATCGGTTCCTGCATTTTCACAACAACCCCAATCGTCAAAATTATGCAAACAAATTCTAAAGGTCATTTGTCTGGGAAACAAATCCAAAAACTGTTGTGTAACCAGACGAGGGTCAAGGCAACTGTAAAGAACTCACCAGTACTCAGCCGAGGGATGTTCAAAAAGTTTGCAAAACGTGAGAACCTTGCCATTTCTTGGTGAGAGTGGGGCTCCAAATAATCTCAAGCAAAAACACGTTAAAGAAGTGTCCAGGGAACCAATCCTAATATATATATATAACACAATGTTTTCTGAACAAACAACAAGGAACTGGTGTTCTCCCCTTGCCGAGGCTTTGCAACGAAAACAGATACCAGTGCCAATTTTGCGGCAAGCATAATTATTCTTCAAATTCCACATCTCTTTGTGCCACTTCCAGTCCCCCCGCAGTTCGACCAAGCAGTGAGGACCACCACTAATCCTTCGCCCAGAAAAAGTAGCAAACCGGCCATGAAGTTTGTTGCCGTCCCAATCGACGCTTGGAAAAACACCATGGTATGCAACCTAAGCTGCATGCAAGCTCCCTTTCTTCAAACATAAAATTTGTGCATGTTTTTTTCTTGCTAAAATCTCTTGTTCCAGTACTACTTGAAAATAGAACAACCCAAAAGTACATTAAGGATTTGAGAAACGTTAAGGCTCCATGCCTGAGCACGAAAAAGTGGATCGATCGTTGATGTGCCAAGACTCAGCTCAACCCGGAGGCAAAAGAGCAGGAAGCGAGTGCTAGGCAGTCCTCAATTTGGACCGAAAGTATATCAGATAGCTAGCTAAATCATTTGGCACAAAACTTTTAAGGTACTACACATCCAAAAATGGAAAAATAATGCTTTGCTAATAATGAATTGAGAGTCTGGTTTTGGGGTCCAAGATTTGGTTGAGAAGCACGCAAATAATCTTTGACCCTGCTAAGGACCACCGCGCGTCGTCCCCAAAAAGCCCAATTGGACTGTGGTTCCCATCATCTGCTGCCTCATGATGCGTACAAAATTTCTTCCAGTGAGCCCAGTACTCCTTGATGGAAGACTTTGGGATAACAACTTTCTGAGTGTCCTGGGTGGCTGGTGGGAAACCTTTACCATATTAAATATAACGGAGCTAATATTGCGCAATGTTAATCATATAATATATATATATGCACACGTGGAGCACGTTGAGCTGTAGGATTCTGAAACAACCCTGAAAAGATTCTAACAGTGCAAGAAAGCTTCAGCAAGGTAATGCAGCATTTCGTGGGCCAAGACAAATGGGATTTGCATTGTTGTACGGTGCTTTGGTTTCTTCAAATCTTTCACGGGCACCTCTATCCAGTGTAAGTCCTCAATCTTTGTTTCTCAAGTAGTAGAAACAAAACACATTCTCCCAAACATTCCCAATAACAAACCCGAAGAAAAAACTACATATATATATATATATATAAAACACTAAAATTGCTTTACTCCTGAGAATCTAAGGGTAACTCCAGTGCCCTCATGAGGTCGCGTTCGATGTTCTGGGGGTGCTTCCCTCCACCACCAGTTCGTGCGATTCGTTTTGTTAGATCGCCTTATGAAGTGTTGGTGGGAAGAAAGGAAACCCATGTTTTTCTTTCAACCTAATAGGGCTCCCAATGTAATAGCTTCTGGGAAACCAACATATAAAATGAAATGACCCCCCTGTAAGTCTTATGTTTTGGCTGCCATTCTCATGTGTCCATATCTTAGGTACACCAATTAAGCAACAATAGGAAAAAGCTTGGGAATTCCCAGTGGCTGCAGTTTCCACCTGATTCAATCACCACGCTTGCAGCGGCTTCTTGCAGTTCCTTGCAACTGCTCGCCCCTCGTCCTAGAGATCCCAAAAGATGGGAAGCGAAGGCTGGCTCGAAGCATCCATCACCTGCGATGGGTTTCAAACGCACATGGGCCATGACTAGATACCCATATATTATATGATCCATGTATGGAATATGTACCTAAGTAAAAATTTTGATGAATGCTGGTAAATATGCCATACATGGAGAATTGGGGATATGACACAGCTCATGGGTGGACCTTGAAAGGAGGTGTGGTTCGCACATTGTCTTTCATTCCCTTTTGAAAAATGAAGCTTCCAAAATAGAAGGATTCAAGCATCTACTAACTACTAACTTCAGAGTTGATCCCAATACAGCATGGACCTCAGGCACATTCAATAAGACTATTTTTTTTGGCACTCGAGCTCAACTCTTGCAATGGTCAACACTGCAAACCCCCGATGGTCAATCGAGCGCATCATTTCACGGGATTGCATGGCTTATGGAAGCCCCACCCATGGAGGTGTCAACAAAGTTGCGATGCAGGTTGGAGCGGTGAGTTTATATATATATAGCCCGCAAATGGACATGTTTTGTAAACATCAATGGACATCATATCATGAAAATCAAAAAAACCTTCAAGAGCCCTAAGGGCAAACCAAGCCATGGAAAACTCCATACCTACGGCTCCGGCGGAGTGGCCGCAGACTTAGCAGAAGCCTTTGGCTTCGCCTTTGGGGCATGCTTCTTGCAATGCCCCGCAGCTTTCTTGTAGTCGGAAATCCGCTGTGCCAAGGTTTGGTTCACAGTCAGTAGGCTATCACCTTCTTGTCCAGCGGCAATTGCGGCCTCAATTGGTGATGTTAAGATTCTCGTGTGGTTCCACCCTATAATAGGAACACTTACAAAATCAGTAAAGAACAAATGAGACCCCCGACTTCGACGTCGCCACGGGCTTGTTCCAACCCACCCAAGTGGCCCGCCATGTCACGAACCAAAGCCGTGATCAGATCCTGCGGCCTCATATATGAACGTAGCATGACCAGAACATATCTAATTTATTTGTTTTCATGATGATATATTTTAATATGTGTGTATATAAAGATCTGGATAAATGAGATTCGGACGTGTTGCTGGACTTCAGCTTCGATTCCCAAGATTTGCACTCAAGGATCAAGTCAGCGGCAGTCTTCATAGCCTCAAGCGCAGTCAGGAACACAATGATATCTAAATTCATAGTATAGGATTATCAT